ACCAGCTGGAAAGTTGAAACTCCCAGTAAGACTTTCAGTGTCGGTGCCTGGTATATATATGTATGTAAAAAAGAATCTCTGCAACACTCTTTCATTACCAGATGTTGCCTGTTGCCTGAATGAGTTGAAAGTAGTGATTTTTTTTAAATAGCCTCAGATGCCCGTCTTACTCATGAGGTGATGAACAAGATGTAACTAGTCCAAAAAGGATGTTAACATGATTTTCTGTACACTACAGAAAGTAGAATACTTGTACATTGAGTCAAACGTATGTCTACACTTTGAGAGCTGTTGAAGCAATAATGCTAAATCCCTTTCAGCAAGTTTGTGTTAAAGAGCACCCATGCTGTGTTTATTGTGCACTGTGTGCTGTTTTTTGGCTATCCTTGCTCTTTGCTGCTGTAATACTGTAAATGTCTCCCGTGTGGGATAAATAAAAGTTTATCTCATCTTATCCTATCTTATGCTACAGCCTCGTCCACTGTGTAGTAGGCCAATGCCACTGAGTTTGACAAATAGAGACATGGGTTAATGTAGATTATAGGATTGGGTTAAATCAGCAGGTTCTTTAAGCCCACATGGTCACACAGGAAAAATTCAGGCATTTCTATAATTCTCTCTGCCTTATCTGCTAAAGGTTATTGCCTCAGCTCAGAAAGCAAACCAGGGGATCAGAGCAAAGCTGCCCATCCATGAATTCTCTCTTTTCAGTGTGTGTTTCTTGCACACAGTATAAATTTGCATGTTCTCCAGCTGTGTTTTACTGCCAGGCCTCCTGATCTGACCACAAGATAAAGCACAATGAGAGTTAAAACAAACCGTGCATCACTGACACCTCAGCCTCCTGCAGAGATCAGCCCCCTTAATGGTGATATGTCACCTGGTGCAGCTTTTATAATATGAGTTGATATTTTTCACCCTTTTATTGTGCTTTTTGGAAAGATTGGACATCCTAAAATTGCTTTAATAATAATAAAAAAAAAACCTTCTGAGCATTCTGCTTTACCTTATGCAAATTCTGTAGAAAAAAAGAGATTTTCACTTCCTTGTTACTCTGCAAAAAAAGAGTCAAAAATACTTGTAAGGTAAAAATGTATCTTGCAGTTTAAAGTCAAGTCCTCGTAAACTGAGGTTAGATGTAGACTGGTGCAGAAGAAGATCAGTGTGATTTTCACACAAGCAGCAACCAAAGTCCTGCAGTCCGTCTAGTGTCCACTTGAGGCTGGCTCCAGAAGTCACATATATACACCACAGGCAAAAAAGCCAGTTTTTACAGTAGAAATGATGGGTGACGTCACTCAGGCTTCGTCCATTCATATTTACAGTCCATGTTTTCACACTGCGTGATTGTTTTTAATTCACTTTATCCCTTCAGGTCAGAGATGGAGAGATTTGTGGAGTGTTTTCGCATGTTCAGTAGCTTTGCTTTGTGCTTTTTTTGCAAGTTAGAAATAAAACAAATGGTGTACATAGCAATTCATGATTATATGGCACTGGGTATTTCATTTATTTTAGATTAGGGCTGAGTGATATGGACCAAAAATCTTATCTCTATATTTTTTAGCTGGATGGTAGCACGATGGTTTAGCACGATATATATATTGCTAACTTTTTCTGTAAAGAAATAAAAAATGAAGTCAGTCCATATTTAAAGCAAAAATAAGCATGTTTCCAGCCTGGTACAAAAAAGTATTTTGGTCTCTAAAGCTCATTAGTGGTACACACTTCATGTTTAATATAAGTATTATTGTATAGGACTTTCGCAAACGTTCAGATAAATAGGAGAATGGCTGATCTGATCCATAGGAAAACATACTTAGTAATAGATGGTATAACTAACCGTTTGAATTTAAACTGTGATTTTCCATGTGTTATCTGAAAAGCATGTTTTATAGTAAGGTTACTTAATTGTCCTGAAATAAGCTCCTTACCATATGTTTTTTTTTTTAATAAATGGCATATCTATGTACAAACTAGAAAGATAAAAAAAAACATGTCAGAAATCTGTTACAAATTCCTGCAGCTCAACAGGATTTTTGAATAATGCAACTGAAACCATTCACACTTTATCACACCTTCACTCAAATACACATGACTGGTTTACCACTGCGCTGCAGCAGGGGCAGCCTCACCACAAACTGCTTCCTGTGTTTCTGTCAGTTGAAAGTTGCTTCTGCTGAATCCCAGTGCATGGTGCGGACATGTGACAAATGAATGAGTTCATCTCAGTAGCTGCAAAGGTCACCCTCTCTCCCACTTCATTAATTACTGTAACAGCTTCCATTGTTAAAACATGTAATACAGGGGAAGTACAATGATGATACATGGCATGCTTATTTAAGCATGTTATCATTCTTTTCATGTTAGCACTACCAGAGGATGGACTGATGTGTGAATGATAGTCTATATCACTATGGTAAAACTGGAAAGTCTGAGGAGCAGGAACGAGGGACCATAGAACACATTAACTGGTTAGTTTCAGTTGGCAATGTGAAGTACAATATGACGCTGTTGTAGGATATGACTCAAGGCATGCATACCAATCAAAAGGTTTCAGAGTAGAAATGTTGACCTTGAATGAGAAATGAAACTGGTGATGTTTTCACACCTATCACATTATGCAAAGTGAGTTTCCAGAATTTATTGGCTGTCTCAGTTTTTACCTTCTGCATAAACTGTACGATCCATAACGTATTATGAGCAGTGTTTAAAGCTAAGACTAGGTATTTGCTACTCGATCAGGGCTCATTAACTACATGTGTCAAAGTGCCAACTTTTTTCTTGACAGACACTTTGAGGGCCGGAGTTTAAAATATGCTTGCACAGAAGCCTGACAGCTGCCAAGCCTGATGTAAAGAAGATGGTGTCAGAGGGCCAATGCAATTTCTCCCATTAACCTATTGTGAGAATTTCAGCTATGTCATTTAATTTTTAATTTTTTTTAATTTTTCCTTGAGGTTTTTTTTTTTAAATGTGCAGGGTGACATTTTATTGCTCGCAAAATAAGGCCTGTCGTTTTTTTGTAAAATAATTTCTATTCAATATCTGATTAAATGAGAGACTTTCTCTTTCTCTTCTTTTTTTTGACTGATCTGTTTGCCCTCATTCTTAAATGTAGACTGATATAAAGCACAAGCCATATTTCAGTCATAAAAGAGGGGGGTTTGTTTTTTTTTGTTTTTGTTCCCTGCAAAGTCAGACTGGTCTAGTATGGACATTTGAATTCAACCAATCTTCAACCAAAATGTTGAAGAGAACAAGTCTTAAATGTGCACATTCATATCACATTCTTTTTGTTCTCAGTTGAGTCTGCCGATTCTTCTCCAGAGGGCTGACTTTGTTCTGTATGGAGGTGAACTTCATTACAGACTCCAAACATTTCTTTTTGTTCAGAAAGACTTCAGCAGATACTAGATTTATTATCTAGCTCTGAGCTCTTCCCTGGGCAGCTCAGCGCTTTAATCTCAGGACTATCCTTCTCCTTGTTGCTTTGTGTGAGGATGGGTTTTAAACAGACCTCTCTATCTGTCAGCCGATTTCATCCAAGACACACATCTAATGGTCTCAGGTTCCCCAAAGTGTTGGAGAAATCCAGCTTTGATTTAAGTGTCAGTGGTGAAGTGTTCAAATAAGAACATTTTGTATTGAAGATCTTTCTCCCCCATTGACCCACCAGTGCATGTGCAATGATAGGGAATAATAAATTAACCAAATGTTAAAATGAACAGATTTTAATACTCACCGACAAAGAAACACACTCCAGGGCAGTGGTTCCCAAAGTGGAGGGGGGGTCGAGACCCCGTGACGAAGTTAGGACACTCCAATAGGAAACAATAGAATCAGGCTGATTTTGTTGCTGACGCTTGCTCGCGTTGTGTGCTGTTAGGACAGGATGTAAGAAGCTAATGTAAATGCTGTTTACAGTTTAGCAGCACAGTAAAAAATATAATGTAAAGACAAAAAACATAAAAACAATATTAAATAAAATAACTGAAAGTCCAAATAGTGCAAAGAAAATCCAATTAGTGCAAAGCAGCTTTCAGTTTTAGTAGGCTACTCAATTAAAAAAGTGTAGGGCAGTAATGAAGTGAAAAATAAAGTTCTGGTTCTGTGGTTATTTGTTGGAAGTTCGGGGTTCTGCACGCAGTTAGTGTCTGCAGTTATCTCCATTCACACAGTACAAAACAAGACAACCCCCTGTGGACCAACGGGTGATTTATCTCATCTTGTCCTGTAGCCTACATGTTTAAAGCAACATTATGTCGACACACCAGTCAGCGTTTTCTAACTAAATATGAATCATTCTCTACTTTAAAACATATAGGCAACGCTAAAACTCAGAATGAATCTTTAACATGTCAAACATTTCAGGGAGAAAAAAACAACAACAATATGAATCTACTCAATATTGTCACTGATGGTCTCATTTGCTTTTGTGGGTAATATGGAGGGATCAATATTAATCTCAGACTGTTTTCTTACTTGCCAAAAACTCCTCACAGGAGCTTTAACAAGCCAAAAAACAGATGTGGAAATTACAATTGCAGCTACTTAGTTAAATATTAAAAAAAAAAAAAAAAAAAAAAAGGCTTAGGCTACAATCTCTAGTAATAAATGAGCTCAGGTGTGAAAAACTAAATAAGTAAATGTCTAAAATCCGGGCTTCGGTTGGCGAAAAAAACCGGAACCTGTCATACGGTTTCTTTCTTTTGGGGTCAAAAGATTGCTTCTGTGAAAATTCATTTATTTCATTGGCTCGTATGACTCGTTGTTCGTGTGTCATACGCTCTTCCCGCTGTCTGTCAACCGTCGTGTTTGGAGCCTCTTCATCAGTCGTGCTGCTCTTCTCTCATTGGTCGCTCTAGCTGTCAGTCAAGCTCGCTCCTACTGTTGGATTGGCTCCCTCCGGAGCTGGATCCTTCTCGGCTGTACCTGTCTCGCTGTGAGAGGCTGACGGGCTCCTTCCTGCTCCCACAATCAAGCTCCCGCCCCCCCTCCCTCCTCCTCCATCCAGCTCCAAGGAAGGAAGGAGGAACTGCCCGAGCCGCATGTGTCACTTCCAGTATGCTGCAAACCCGTGCTGCTATGTGACTGCCCGGGGACTATTTAGCTTAGTTTTGAGGTTGGTGGGAAGCGAGGTTTGAAAGTTTGGGACTAAAAGCCGGTGTTTTCAGGGGGGTCGTGGGGTGCGTAGGGAAGGTGGTGCAAAGTGGTTTCGGAAGTGGAGCGTGGCAGCAACAAAAAAAAAAAAGGAAGAAGAAAAGGGGGGGGGGGGTGTTTTTCGTTCCTGTGTGATTTAAAAAAGATAGCTTGCTTCTCTCGCTTGCGTTGAATATGGCGGAGCATCACCCGGTTACCGACAGCAGACACAAATCCTCTCTGAACTCCGGAGCGTCGTACTCCGGGAACGGGCGGAGCAGCAGCAGCAGCAGCGCGGCGGCGGCGGTGGCCGAGAGAGGAGGAGGCAGCACCGCGGCTGCAGGAGACGACGGAGGAGGTGGAGGAGGAGGTGGAGGTCTGTCCGGCGGCGGCGGCCTGTCGCAGCCGGCCGGGTGGCAGTCCTTGCTGTCGTTCACCGTCCTGTTCCTGGCCTGGCTGGCCGGTTTCAGCTCCCGGCTCTTCGCTGTCATCCGCTTCGAGAGCATCATCCACGAGTTCGACCCATGGTGAGTTTTTGTTACACACACACACACACACACACACACACACACACACACACACGACGAAGTGGTTTGACGTGTTTGTCAAGATAGGCTGAGACACACACACACACACACACACACACACACAAGCAAGTTTCTTCACAACACGTCAAGTGAACGGTCAGTATCACACACTGTCACGCCTCACCTTCAGACATAACCGGCACAATTTGGAACAAAGGTTAAAAAAAAAAAAAAAAGCAGCTTATAGTTACTTATTAAGAGTGACCTGAGCCATGTTGTCTTTATCATTAACGCCATCCTGCTGTAAAATACACACCACTGCATTCGGGCTCTTATTTTCACCTCTTTGCATTGTGCAATATTATTATGAAGGGGGAGGGAAAAGGGGGATGAGGGGGGGGGAGGGTGTCTGTCTAAAGGAGGACAATGGTGACAGCTTCATCTGACGCGGATTGAACCCGGAAGGACGCAGCCTCTAGGTTTCCGGCTGAAGTCCTCCCGTCACCGATTTCTCATTTGTTTACACCTCTGCTCTGATTTTGTTGCCCGCAGCAGCGCGCGCAGTGATAGCAGGGGGTCTGTGTGCAAACACACACACACACACACACACACACACACACACATATCAGTAAGCATATCATGTTTGGCTTCACAGTGTTCCTCCTGCGTGGCCTTCCCACATGCTTTGCTGTTAAATCTGTATTCACACTTTGATTAAACTAAAATTCTAAGTACCTCCTAATTCAAGCATGTAAAAGTCAGTATTCACATTCATTTGGCATTTAAAGTTCATTTAAGACATGGAATATTTGAGAATTTTAAAGTTGAACAGTATGGTGAGGAGACATTGCTGCAGGACAAACTAAATTATCTGTGCACGGTGTTATTTGCTGGTGGTGAACAGATTTGGCTGTTTGGCTATCAGCTGGTGCTACTAGGGCTGGGAAACATATCGAGTTTTTAAGATATATCGATATCTTTTCAAACAAGATATAGGGTAAGACAATATCGTTAATATGGATTTAGTTTATGTTGCATTAAAATAACGTTACAGAGGTGCCAGGTCACCTTTTTCTCATCTCACTGATGATGTCTGTCCCTCTTCACCCTGCTCCTCCTCTCTCTCTCTTTTATTGTATTTAAGGAACATTGTTCTTTTATAATATTACTTTTTAAATTCACAAACAGGTAGTTTATTTTTCCACGTGTTTTCACTGTTACTAAAAGGCATATCGATATCGAGTAACGCCATTCAGCTAAACAATATCAAGATATGACCTTTGGTCCATATCGCCCGGCCCTAGGCGCTACCCATCGAGATGTGCCACCATGCAGCTCTGTGCAGTACAGGCAGCTTTACAGGGGCTTTTTCGTCTACTCAGAAACGCGTCATCTGAAATCTTAGAGGTTTTGTTGTAGAGTATCAACTTCCTGTTTCCTTACTGTTCAAAGGCAGCACGTGGCGGTGGTGGTGTTAAAGTGATTCCCTACTGGGAGCATTATTTGATGTGATTTGATTGTCCATCATGATGTATAGTTTCCCTGAAATTTTAAACAAAAGAGCACCAACACTTGTTCTCAATCCTGTGATAATGCATCTGGAGTAAGTAATGAATTCATATAAAGAGCACACACACAGTAACACAAAAGCCTCACACTCACACACACATAGGTTAGCATGGCGACTGTGTGAACGCGAGGTGCCCATCATCCCAGGAGTAAAAGCATAGACTTACTGGAGGATAAGCAACGACCGTTTCCTGGTGCTTGCTCCTCTTGTCCAAAATGACCAAATTGACCTCTACCAGTTTTAGTTTTGCCTCAGGGTTATCCATACGCATGTGTGCTGTTCTCTCTCTCTCTGTCTCTCTTGCTCCCCAGGGGCAGGGGGAGTACAATATGTTAAATATTTAATGGATATTTTCGTAATATTCATTGGTTAAGTTGGGACACTTGGAGGATAAAAACCTCAGCATATGAGCGTGTGATTAAGAAGTTTAAACCTGTTTTGAGATGTACCATGTTGCAGGAATTATTTTAGATAAATGCATATAATTAATTAAATGATATGAATCAAGATAAAGACTCTTTGAAGATACCGTGTTATCATCCAGTCAGCTAGAAAGACAGACAGGTAAGAGACCAACGCTGAGCAGCTGTAGTGATTTTGATGGGTCATTCATAATTCCTTCAGGAGTCAGAGAGGATGCAGCTGAGCAGAGAGTGAAGCAGGATTTACTTAACACCAGAATGAGAGACGGTCATGGAACCTTTTCTAAACAGTTAGCCTGATTTAAAAAGTCAGTGTTTTTTAAAATGTAATTTCCATTAAAGAGAAGTTGCAAAAAGTATTAATAGTTGCTCTCGGGTTGGCAGGTCAAACTTTAAAAAATTGGAAATAATCGGCCAATGAAATTGCAATCTGTGCATCTCTATTATCAATATGGCACCTGATAAATGGATAGGGAGGTGGAATTAAATTCAACACTAAGATTAAACATGCATTTTACAAAATCTGAGGATACCCTGTCAGAACACAAATCACCCTAACTTGTGTTAGGGTGATTTCAAATGTTCTAAAACAGTTTTCTTATCAGTGTGTATCTGAAAAACATTCACATGCAGACATTGAATTGGTTCATTTTTGGCATCCTGTACGTCCAAGAAGCATCTGATTGTCATACCTTAGAGATAGTGAAGCACCTCATTAAAAAAAAAAAAGAAGAATGTCAGCGCTTTGCCTAACCACGGTGATTCTCATTTTTTGCACCAGCCATCAAAATGTTAGTGTTTCATTTCAAAGCCATTACCGGCTTGGCCCCTGCCAGAAATGTCCAAGCGTTTTATTTGCACTCTGAGGGACTGTTGCCTGGTCCAAGCCTGCATTGCATCACTGAAAGCATTTAATGATTATTCAGAGACCAGCAGTGTGGATTAAACTGCCAGCTTCATGTCTGTGTGCTGAATGAAAAAAAAAAAAAAAAAAAGGGGGCTCGAGAGCTTGGCTGGGCAAGAGTCCTCCAGTGTTTGTGTGTCGCTGTCTGAAAGTTTAATATGCCATGAACTGAAGTGAAATGTATTCGTACACTGCTTCATTGTTCTATCGTTCACCCTTTGCTATCAGGCTGGCAGCACTATGCAAACGAGATGCTTGGATGGCTGAGGAGGTGTAAGTGTGAAGGGTGGGGGAAGTACCTCATCTCTGCCTAACCGTTGGAAAATGTACAACAGGCTCGAGGGTTGAACCTGCTTTTGTTCATCTTTTTTACAGGTGCAAAAGGAATTTCATTCCTTTTTTAAATGTTACAGGAAAGAAACTTCAAGGTTGTTCAGCAGTAAGAAGGATAAAAGCAGCAGGGTTTCACAGCTTTTTCTGATCACTGTTTGATGAAAGTGCCCTCATGTACAAAACCCATGACCTCACAGCAAGGGTACTGTCATTCTGTGGCTTATCTTTTTAGTATTGCCACCAGTTGTATAAAATCACTGCTATCCTGTTTGTTCTCTCTCTCTCTCTCTCTCTCCGTCACACGCTCTCTAATGTGTCCTTTTGATGTGGCAAGTTAACTGGCCCTTTCCTTCACAAGTGCTTGATCGTGCTATTAGATCTGACAGCAAAGCAGGTCAAGACTGGCATTAGGAAGCTGGCCCGTAGACTGTTAGTTTTGCTTGGAGGTTGGGCTGTGTGTTAATCATGCAAGGAACAGCATCAGAGAAGAAAAAAAAGGGAAAAAAAGCAGCTCCATTAGTACTGATGTCTGATGCACTAAAGGTCGCCTGCCAGTGAGCTAGACCTCCCTCAGAGCAAGGTCTGGCAATGAGACGCCATCTGATCCACCTGTCATCTTGGGCTCAAAGCTTCAGCCCTATGAATAATAGCTGGTAGAGAAATGGAGTGCAATTAGTGTCACTTTCCGTCCAGATCTATTATGAAGTGTGACACGTTTGATGTGGAAGCAGACATGAGACCATTACAGCGTTCAAACCGAGTGCCATCCTGCCAAAACAAAACCAGTTCTCTTTTTGTAGACGCTGTCAACGCATCTTCTTCACAACTCCAGTTGGTGCCACATTTGTTTGGATCTTTTAATTAAATATTTTTTAACCAGATGAATGGTTATTATATTCTAATAATTTTTTAACCCCCACTCCAATACTTACCTCAGCAGTGCTGTGTATAGCAGAACTTAGCATTCACAGCCATCTTGCCTGATGTAACCCAGCTAATCAAATCTATGCATTATTTTATTTTTGGGCATTTCTGGTCTTTATTTGGACAGGACAGTGGATCGAGAAGGACATCGGAAAGAGAGGGAGGGGGATGACATGCATGAAAGGAGTCAAAGGTCAGACTTGGACCTGGGCCGCCTGCTTGAAGGGCTTTTTTTGCCTCTGGGTGTGACCTAACCGCTAGGCCATCTGCGTCCCCAGTATTTATTTTTTGAAGTTATATTTTTGGACCCTTTTGCCTTTATCAGTTAGGACAGCTGAAGAGAGACAGGCGATGTTGGTAGGAAATAGCGCGGGTCGACATGCAGCAAAGGGCCGAGGTCAGATTTGAACCCTCGGTCGCTGTGATGAGGACTGTAGCCTCCGTACATGAGACGTGCAACATAACCGCTAGGCCATCCAGCATCCCCAAATCTATGGATTCTTTTAAGAACAAAAACAGTGGGAAATAAGGGAGATAGAGCTTCAATGATGAGGTGAACAACTTTTTTAATCAATTGATTGTCATTTCAGAATAAATATAGTATTTGAAGTGTTTGGGTTTTGGACTGTTAGTTGGACCAAACATTAGGGATGTTGAAATTAATCGATTATTACGTAATCTACTGTTTGTAGATTTTACGACCGCAGCTCCACCTACTGTATCATTATTTTGTTGACAATGCAGAGACATTAATGTTTATTTCTAAAAGACTTCCTCAATAATAAAAAACAAGTTTATATTTATAATGCTGCTTGTCTATTGATGAATAAGTATGTGGAAAATAATA